CCCCAAAACCCCAAAACCCCAAAACCCCACCTTGCGCTGACTGGTTTGAAATATAATACAAAAGATTATTGATAAGTATGGGATCAAAAGTTTGAATTTGTAGTAAGAACATAGTTATAATGGCTGGGATATGTCTGTGTCTTGTTTTATTAATGATGGGCTCTGTTTTCTCTGTCCAAATTTTAGCCCTCGAAGTCTATTTTACGGGTTCGGATGTATTGATGCAACGTAGCACTTATTAAATTGCCTAAAACTGGTTAGTGAGCATGGAATAGCCCTTACGTCTAATCTTACCTTTTTTGTAGAGGATTATTTGGAGTCCAGGAAGGAGCTCAAAAGATTACCCTCTCAGGTACTTTCCAATTGGTCTTACTTTAATCGCTTTAGGAAGAAGCCAAGAAGGCTGAAGATAATAATTTTGCCCTTAATGGTCATGATCAGGTCGACTGTAAAGTCCATATTTCAGATTTAGGCTCGTATAGCTTAGGTGGCAAATTTAACCAGAAAATGAGCTTCAGATCTGGAAGACAAACCAGCTGCAGTCTCACTGACACTGAAGGCGACTGAAAGTTTGAGATCTTTGAAGAGTATAAAAATGAGCCAAAATTATGGAAAGATAATGATCTTTTTATTAACAAGGATGCGCAGAATTTGTTCTCCATTTATGTAAATAAGCAGCCTATTGGAAAACACTACAAGATCGGCAAAGTGCTCGGGAGTGGAAATTATGCTATAGTGAAGCAAGCTTGCAGTCATGGTAAGTTCGCCACCAATGACGTAATTGCTTCCAATATGCCATTTTCTTCCTTTTCGATGTAAATGCATTTAACTTTTATATAGCTAATCCTTCATTTAAGGTAGCTGTGAAGATTTACAAGCTGGATGGGTCAATTAATGAACAACTCAGTATTTTTAGAGAGCTCTCAGCTTATCAGAGTTTTGATCACCCCAATCTCGTTAAGGTTCATGAAGTTTTCTTAGATACCAAAAAGTTGTATATCGTATGAGATCTTGTTAAGGGCAAACGTCTGTACGACTACATTCTTGATAGCAAGAAAATCCCTGAAGACAAATCTAAGGTCATTGCCAGACAATTGCTAAGAGTCGTCCAATATTGCCACTTTAAGAATATTATGCACAGAGACCTGAAGCCAGAGAACATAATCATTGATCCGGAGACGTTACAGGTCAAAGTAATAGATTTTGGATCATCGAGCTACTTCTCAAGCTACCAGAACCTCAAAACCTCTCTTGGGACACCCTATTACATAGCTCCGGAGGTACTAAAGGGTAAATATGGCAAGTCTGCAGATACCTGGAGTATTGGAATCGTCACGTACCTCATGCTCACAGGATGTCCTCCATTCCAAGATGAGGATTTCCAAGCCATCTACCAGAAGATTCTAAAAGAGCCTCTACAATTTTATAGAGATCAATGGATCTATCTCAGCCAGAACTCAATGAAATTTGTCAGTCAGCTATTAGTCAAAGATCCTGCGGAGAGAGTGTCAATTGAGGATGCTTTGAAGCATCCTTGGTTTGAAGATATTTTAGGACAGGACATCTCCTTTACTTGTAATACTATCCAAAAGTTATTGAACAAACCTCAGCATAATATCCTCAGAAAGGAGATCTTAAACCTTGTTGGCTCTCAGATCAACTCTAGAGCACTGGCCAAGTGGAACAAGCTTTATGCAGCCATCTACTCCAAGAAGGTGGGTATGGCAAGTCTGAAGAGACTTGAGAAACTCTATAAGAAGCTCTATGAGCGCTTTCCGGAAGCTTATACTATTTCTGCTGAGATTCTATGACAATTTAGGGTCAAGTCTGAGAAATATATCTGATATAGAGATTTCTTATCGACTCTGGTTGACTTCCAGAACGATATCCCTTATTTCAGCATGGAGACTGCCCTAGCCCATATGGGCGTGGGGTCTGGAGAAGAAATCTCTAATGCAAAACTTGAAGCCTATCTTACCAGGAGAGGATTTCAGGATCCGGATGAATCAGCAAAGATTCTTTATGAGCAGATCATGAATGAGCTTAATGACCAAGGTAGTGAAAGTTTGGTCAAATCACACATGTTGTGTCAAGACAGTTTTTCGGAAGAGAGTGGTAAGTTAGGCAAAGTTTTTAACCGATCTGGGGTTTTATCAGACGGCAACATCGGCGGACCTAATACGCACTTTTAGGCACTTTTAGAAGAATATAGTCAGTAAGAGCTCGGGGCTGTCAGATCTCATCGATCAAATAATTTTTAATACAATTTTGCAATGATTCTAAAATTTTCTGAGGAATTCGCAACGATGGAGCCCATTAGTGTCTTTCCCCATCATTAAATTGGGATAAAAATTAGTTGAATTAGTTATAGTTTATGGCTCTAAGAGCTTCATCTATTCCTATTCTTATGGGACCCTATTTGTCAAGAGCATGCCACCTCCCATTTTATTCCACTTGCTTGATGGAGCATGCTTCACTATGTATGAACCTCCTAGTCAGTGCCATTTTCTGGGTAAGGATAAAGTTTTAAGGATGATGTAATTATTTACCAATTCAATTATCTTAACACATCTTGGGGTTTTGGGGTTTTGGGGTTTTGGGGTTTTGGGG